TATGTTCCACTAGGAACCCAAGGGACTTTTAAAAAAAAAATAATAATAATATTTTGTCTAAAAGTTACTCTTTGTAAAAGCAGATTATTGAAAAGCGAGACAGGAGTTTACAACGAAGATAATTATCTCACCGACTCATTTCCACACTTTTATATTTGTAAATATAGATAAGTGAAGTGATGGAATGTTCCAAACACGTTTCCAGTCAAAGGTCAATCTCAATCGATAGGTGTCTCTAGGAAATGAAATGATACTACAAAACACAAAACATGATCACAATAGCACTTTATAAAATGCGGTGAACAGTCAGATCTTGAAATAGTGGAGAATATACGTAGCTCAGGTGGATGGTGTTGGTTGTATTGTGTTCTCTGACCTGGGTTGTTTAATTGTGAAGCTTTCATCATCTTTCTAGACAGCGACATCATCCACAGCACTGACTTCACTACAAACTGAGCTGGCAATATCTCTCCATCAGTGACTCAGTAGCTTGCCTTGACCAACTGGTTTGTGTGTGATTGGTTGTTCCCACCAATTGTTGTGTCATTGACTGACTCCATAGATTTTCCTGTTGTCTATTCCTCTCCTTGACCTCACATCTGACCTTACTCTCATTTATCATCTTTCTCAGTGGTTGATAGATTGAGTCTATATCTATACATCTGTTGATTGCCAACTGACTGACTGACTGACCTCAATGACAAGCTTCTGGCAATACTCTCATTTTCTCTGCCTTTCCTCTCTCCAACCAACATTTCTACATTGTCAAAATTGAATTCATATCCATAATTGTTATACACATGCATTGAAATGAGTGATGAAATGTCATGTGTGACGTTTAATGGACACTTGCTCATGTGCTCATGTAGACGAAGGTGACGATGGCGACCACTCTGTCCAATACAGTGTTCACTACAGTTATTCCAGTTGATTTTGTAAATGATATTCGGTTTGCCTTCTTTGCTTGCTACATCCTTTCACCTGCATAATAGTGTTTGGAGGGAATTTGTTCGTTTATGAGCCACACTAATTCCATCAAGTGGTCTCAGTAATCTTGTCCTGATTTATGATATATGCTTTTGTATTATGGTAGGATGATGCGTTTACTGATTTCTGTCGATGACTTTTTAGTTGATGATGTACGGGATAGGCATCTTCTGATGAAGCTTTGTGGGTTGTTTAGACGTGCAGCTTTCATCGTCTTTCTAGACGACATCTTCATCTGGAAACCCAAGTGTACAGGAAGCCAACACACTGATCAACTCTTCAACTACAGTAGCAACAACCCAACAATGCATGCAAACTGTATTCAAAAGAGCGAGAACACACTGCAGTACAACTTCACAGAGAAACGAAGAAAATTGCCTGATTTCTACCTTAAAGAAGAACGTCAAGTAGAGGAATAGCCAATAGGAAAATCTATGCAGTCAATGACACCACAATCAAAGGAAACAACCAGTCACACAAACCAGCTGGTCAGGGCATGCTACTGAGTCACTGACGGAGAGATATTGACAGCTCACTTTATAGTGAAGTTAGTGCTGATGATGTCGTCTAGAAAAACGATGAAAGCTTCACGACTAAACAACCCAGGTCGGAGAACATAATACAACCAGTCAGATTTGGTATCTGGTAAAAGCAAATAAACATAGATTTTGAGGTGAATTAGGATTCTAATTTTGACGTAATATTCATCGCGAACTGACATCGGTTGGAGAAGCACTGGAAACCTGAAAGCACTGAACAATCTGTTTCGTCCTAGTATGTGACTCCTCAGGAGTACACACCTGATGTCCGTCCGTGATGAGTACTATGTCAAAATTAAAATCCCCATTAACCTACAAGTACATTACTCTATAATGTTCATTAGTGATATGCTTCCAGATGGACATTATGAAGTTCTAATGAGAAGCTGTGACCTGTGGAGTCAACCAGTCGGGAGGGCAGCGGATGCACTCTGAAGACTTTTGGTGATAGCCGCGCTATATTACGAATTGACAGAATTTGGAAACTGAAACAATGAATTTCGACCCAGTGGTTGAATGGTCAACGCGTTCGTCCTGAGTTCGATCCCTAACTAGGTTGTGAGTGCGTAATGCTCAGGAGTCTCGTACTGAGACGAAACAGCTGCCCAATACCCCCAGGTTTTTAATGGTTCTTCAACTGGTGTCACTTCGCGATAAATACTACCTCAAAAACAAATATTTAGCAAGATTTATAAGTAAATGAGGTTTGGAGCTGAGAATTACCAAAGCTTCGACTGCACATATGTCTAATCTTCACTTCTTTGTAACGGTTCGGTCAACCTTTATAGAGAACTTTAAAACAGGTTTCCAGAAGAGCCAGATGTTTAGAGTCTGTGAGATGTTCAACGATCGGGCTAGAAATGGTTTTGTGCTCACCATTCACAAACCCTTCAGAAACACTAACACCACCCGGCCTGGTGATATCCTTTACGTAACATCATTGTGCAATATTACCTACATACACCTATCGATTGAGATTGACCTTGACTGGAAACTTGTTTGGAACATTCTATCACTTCACTTATCTATATTTATGAATGTAAACGTGTGAAAAAGTCGTCGAAAAGATAATTATCTTCGCTCTAACCGTCTTTTTATTTTTTGATGACCAAATTGGGATTTTTCGTTGCAGGAAACCAGACCATTCATAGTATGTGATAACCACACGGTGACCACACTGATGTCAGTCACAATTTCTATCAATCGAGATGATAATCTTAGTAGCCATTCCGCATTCCTTGTTTAACATCAAGATCAACATAGGACCAGAGATTACTGCGTAACGGTCCAAGTTGCCACACACATATCAGTACATCAAGTAACAAGCCAGTAACATGGAAGATGAAGAATGAAAGAAAAATCAGTCAAAGGAAGTAGTAAAGGAGAGGAGTAAAGGATAAGATTATATTAAATAAAGCAGTTACGATAAGGATAATGCGCCACTGATATCGGTTCTCAGCCATATCACCTGCAGTCAGTCCCCAACCCCTGGTTTCTCCTGATCAGCGGACCCCAACCGGCTAATCTGCATCACCCTACATGGCTCAAATCAACAGTCAAACACTTCATACATTGATGCTATATTTTAGTCTGGCCACCTCTAGCCTTTTTCCAGAATGAAGCTACTTCAACCAACATTGTGTGACGAGGCAGACGGCGACTAGGCATACGTAACATATGTCCCAACCATCTCAGTCAATGAACCTTCACAACTGTGTCAACTGTCTTACTTCTCCTGTCTAAAACTCTACTCTTGGCCTCTGCGTTACTCATGCGATGACACCGCGAAACACGGCCTATGCTATGGAGGCAGCTGGGGTTAAACATCCGAAGTGTCCCCATATCTTCTACCTTTAATGGCCATGTTTCACAGCCATACATTAGAACAGAGCAGACCGCAGCACAATGCACTCGACCTTCAATAGACAACCGGATATCGTGGCGGGGCCACAGATGGCGTAAGTTGGCGAAAGCCAACCGAACCTTTTGTATCCGTGCAGAGATTTCGTCGGCCAATGACCAGGGCACGAGCACTGGTCCGAATTCCTAGGTTACTGAAGTGTTCAATATGCCCAACCACTTCACTCTCTATTGTTAGTCGGGGTACCATTGCAGATCAGTCGTGGAGCAATAATTTGCATTTGGGTGGCGAAAAACGCATCTCAGACATACTCAAATCTCCACTCAAGGTGTCTAGAAGACTCTGCATCTAGTCAGCGTCTTCACCTAACAGGATTAGGTCATCTGCATATTTTAGATCTACCAAGGACTTTCCTGTGATCGGACCAATCCCTGTGTGGTCAAATGTCGAGAGGGTGACCTACATAAGTATGTCTATGACAGAGGTGAATAAGAGAGGAGAGAGTGAGCATCCTTGACAGACAACACTCGAGATGCACAGCTCAACCGACATGTCACCATAGGCTCTAACACGCTCACAGGTGCCCGAGTAAAGAGCCTTCACTAACGTAATGTACTTACTCGGTACCTCTCTCAGTTAAAGACATTGTCATAAGACTTCTTGATCGACGGAGTCCAATACCACCATCAGGTCGAGAAACACACCTAGTGTCAAGCGTTGGTAAGCATGCCTGTATTCCAGAACCTGGCGCAGTGTGAATATTTGGTCGATACACTCATGACTAGGTCTGAAGCCTGCCTGTTTTTTGCGGGCCTGCTGTTCCTGAGCTCCACTCAGGCGTCTAATGATCATAGGAACTTAACCACAGAGGAATCAGCCTGACGAACATAGCGTCTATCACAAGAGGACTTCTCGCCTTTTTTGAAGACTGGGATGATCAGTGATTGAGACCAGTCAGAGGGGATTATATTTTACTCCCATACACTTGTTAACATTTCAGTTAACTTGACTAAACTTACTCTGCCACCGTCCTTGTATACCTCAGAAACTAATCCGTATGGTCTCGCTGCTCTTCTTCGTTCCAAGTTACCTAATACTTTCTAGACTTCTGCAAGTGTTGGGAGATCTAGCTCAATGTTCCATTCAGAATCCAACCCCATACAGGGCAACTCAATAGTAACTGGAGGCCAATTAAACTGTTCCTCGAAGTGTTCTACCCATTTTTCAAGTTATCTCCCCTGTGAGTGAATCGCAGACCCATCTCCTTATCAGTAGTCTCACTAACCGCTGACCTTTTCACCCCAGTTTCATTAAGAAGTCTAAATAATTGTCTGTTGTTACCTATCGCCTCTGCCTTTTCCATATCTTTAGCCTTCGTTGACCACCACTGTCCACAGTCATTGCGTAGACTTTTCATCAGTCTACATTTGAGTTGCATTCGCTTCTCATTGTACTTAGGGCCTGAAGGAATGCGTTTGTGTGCATCCATTAATTCAGAAGCTGCTGATATTCATTGGCTGTTTTAAACAGAACGTCCTGAACAACAAAAATGGGAGCACTAGTCAAATTATCATGTAACAATCCATATAAAGCAAACAAAACAGGGCTACTACCTTCCACATATATAGGATTGGTAACATCATGATGTATAAGCTCAAAGTTACTATGTCCAATCCATTGTTCAATATTTCGTCGTTTACCGGTAACAAAATTGTCTAGAGCAATAACTTCATGACCATCTTGCATTAATCGATCCACTAAATGAGAGCCAACAAATCCAGCACCTCCAGTCACCTGTAAAATGAACCGAAAGAAGATATGCAGATGACATTTCAGCCATAAGCATTGACACCATCACAAAACATAAAAAGGATTATCACCATACCATTTGACATTATTGTGTACATTTCCAGATTGCCACAACTGACATCAGTACATATGACAAAACATGGACGAGAATGCACTGAGAGTGACATAATCAAAGGCAGTAGAAAACCACAAATTAAAATCAATATGAAATTAACCAAATAAACTACTGTACAACCTAAGTAGTTAGAAAAAACTCACACTGATCCGTAGATTTCGCTAGACAGATCAGAGTGATCTTAACACAAGGCGACCGCTTCGTTCGTTTACGACCAAGTTCAGCAGTGGTATATCCAGACACGTTCAGCTCTCCCTCAAACTAGCAAAACGGAGATCCAGAGTTTAGATCACTCTGATCTGGTTGGCGTAATCTATAAATCAGCGTGATTAACCTTATAACTATTCATGGTGTTCAGTAGTTTATTGCGTTAGTTCATTGACTTATTAAATCTTCTCCCTACTAATTCCCTTCGCATTTTTTAAAAATTTTTTTCAACTTCCGACTTTTCTTATGTGTTTTTGTGAAGTATAGCACCATTCACCACTACAGTAAACTATATTTTTAGTATTTGACAAATAGGTAAGTTACTATGCACTACTACAGAAGCATAAATGTGTTCTGTACATCAAGACATTAGTTAGAAAATTTTCTGAATGGAGACCATTGAGAAATATTTTCAGGTTGAAGTAATTTCACAGTTACACTATTTCAACTAAATATTCTGCAACAGTTGCATTAACTCTACCATTTGATAAAAATAGATTAGAACTAACTTCAACGGTTTGTTTTATTCATCCTAGAAAACCATTGGATGTCAGGCAGCAATCGTTTCGTCTACCTCATCAGCTGTACACATCCATAACCTAAATGTGGGGCCAAACCTTTCACCACTAAGTCTTATGGTATGCACATCACTCTTCAACCAATGTCCAAACCTCCTTGGTTTTAATAGTTTTCTGATGGATTCAATTTCAGTGAAATACTTCGAGATCAATGAATTCCCGGCTGACCTTCCCGTTGAGTAAGACGACTTAAAACAACATATGTTTCTATTAGCTTAAGATACAATAAGTTTACGGTGTAATACAAAAATAATGAGAAAACCTATGCCAAAGGAAGATAAACGATGAATACAGCAACCGAACTTTGGTATTGCAAACGTTTATGTGGTAGTTTCTAAAGAGAATTCCATCTTTTTGAAGGCATCTACATGCGTCCAGCCAATACATTAGGACAGACATGGGTATCGACGTAGAACTTACTAGAGGGGTGACTTAGTTTAAGTCGATATACTTCACGGTATCATGTAAACAAGTGGATGGAAGTAAAATGGCATTTGACTAGATGAAAGTATATGGGTGGGTACTGGATAAATTGATGGTTATTGACAATGCTAGGATTTTCGAAGACAAGGAGTACGCATCTGTATTACTTGAATCAGTTCCTGAACCACTGACTTCAATTCCAAACAGTTCGAGCTGTTGCCAGCTGGCATAAACACGTGATCTTTAACTTAAAGGTGCCGAGTTTGAACACCACTCCATTTACCAAATACGAGGCAATTAAGTACCATTGTCAGCTCTCTTACAACGGATATGATTCATCGCATGAATATGCATATGGTTTCTCACTGTACTTTGATTTCATTTCGACCCCACGAAAGACCCGTCAGAAAGCCCATACAACTCGACAACAAACGCAAACCTTATGGGTTGATGGTGTGCCACGGTAGATGGCAATTTGACGTACTGAGTTATAACAGATAATGAGTTTTTGTTTGATTACTCTAAATTCTTTAGTTTTATTACCAGATCAGTAATTCTGGACTTATGGGAACAGAAAAAGCGAATTTCGCCATCTTTACCTAGCGATTTTACAACAATTACTTATTAGACTCAACTATTACTACGACCTAATGTGAATGCTAGTCTAAGCACCTTAAAATGCAAAGCACATACTGGATACTACGTCATTTTTAGGTTCTCTGGTGCAAGTATTGAAATGGATCTATGGATAAAAAGTATGACAGAAAAAGTTAGAGCTCATGTTTCGGGATTTCAGCTACATAATAAGTATGCGGCTTCGTAAACTAGGCAGAAAAAGTCAACCTAGAACCTGTCACGCAAGTGTATCTGTTGATCTGGCCACACTTTACGCTATTATACAAAAAACAAGTGCATGGGACACTGATATCAAAAGTGTATGTGAGAAAAGTTTGAAGATAAAAGTTTGTGGAAATAGTTAATCTTCAGAAGATGTCAAACAGTGAACTCCTTTGCATTACTGTGACAGTTTCTCAGCTATATCACCATCCATTCCTATCATTTCGAGGACAGCAAACAAGTAGTCTACACCTCTATACACAGCTCATCGCTTCGTAAGCCAACTTAGTGGATTAGCAACTAGTCAGAACTTCACCTACTAAAGTGGTGGAAGATTTACGCTACAGTGATATTGTGGTACATATGTTGACATCAAAATGCACTAATCTGAAATGGACATGAGCAAGTTTCCCTAAACTACGTAGCTTTGATTAACACAAATCGCTCAGACTACCTTCCACGTTGATATCATGTAAGCTAGGTATCTCTTGGGGGAATAAAGTGAAACTGAATCAGATTTCAGAGTGATGTTCTTGCATTCAGCTTATTTGTACAAAAGCATACTTTTTTAATGGAAAAGCAAGCATGCGTTATCTTCATGAAACATACCAGATTTTAAAAATCACTATACACTAAAAAATATATCATATGATTGTTTCTTGTCTTGATAAAATTTACATGGTAGATAGGGAATGAATGAATAAGCGGTTGCTAACACCAATATTGGTGTTATAATACATATAATTACCAAAATCCTTTTCTTCTTCGTCCAGTGGAGATTCTTGACCTGCGGCCATTTTTTATCGCAGCCTGACTGACAAAATTCGCCTAAGGAACTTCTAAAGCTGCTTACAGGACATGCGTCGTCAACCGCGTAGCATAAATGGCTGGATATTATTATAAAAACCTTTGGACTGTAAGAGAATAAAGCGCAGATGAACCTACAGCAACAATGAGCAGTTTTAGGGCTTTTCGAAAATTCGTTACAGCCCCAAAAAGATATAGCAATGAGCTGACAAACATCCTACGATATTTGCAACAGAATGGTCCTCACATTGGAATTTGCGGACACTACAGGTCACAAAAAAAAACAGTTCGAGAGATTAAAACAAACCGGTAACCACTTTTCATTTTGCAGTCGTGAGTATGTAAGATGATTTCTCTGCACTCTTTTCTTGGCCTTGCAGAACATTTTTGTTTGATTTCTATCTAGCAGTGTCCTCAGAGGTATCAGATCAAGTCTTAAAACTACCAACCGTAAAAGTAGGGCAACTTCCAATGAAGACGGGGGTGGAGCACACTTAGTGTCACCTCGGGAATTACGCAGGCCTCATTTCCTACAAAATTTAACAATCAAATGAGCGCCGATTAATGCAAGCGAGGGAATTAAAACGCGTTCTAAAACTGACATAGCGTCACTGAACTAGTCACTGGTCAACCTTGCACACCTGACACTGAGAAATATAGAGTGAATAGGACTAAACCGCATCCCTAGAGGCTAAAATGGGCCATTTGATCAAGTGTCATCACTTTACAGGGCAGAAATAGAGTTCCCTGACAGGTCTGTAGTCTTCAAGCGGTTCGAGTTGTCATTTACGGAATAGAAGAAACTTTCGCTTAACTGGCATCCGCGCCTAAAATCTGTAGGTCGCTACTTTTTGTGGTTGCTAACCCGCGTTCAAGTAAAGAGAGAGTAAAGGGTAGCGGTTTAAAATTTGAAACTTCGATTGGTTCTAGGTAGATCTCAGCCACATGTCAAATAAGAATCTTGTCAGCGCTTACAGGATTCAGGCAAAATAGCCTTGAACACGTCTGCAGGAAGACCATTCTGGGGTGCAAAAACTCTCAGAGAATAGTAGTTGTGCATGGTGCCCAGCCTGCTATGATCCAGACTTGGTTTCTGCATGTGTTCTCCAAGATTGGTGCTGCAGCTAAGATCGGATAAGTGACGGAGTGGGTGGTCAGGGATGCTCAGAATGTTGAGTCAGTATCAAGTTGCTTCTTAAATTTCTGTTTTCCAGGGGATACACATCCAGCACAACTGGTTGTTCTCTATATTTTTTAGGGCTAAGTCCCCGTGCTGGCTTTGTCAAACGCCGCTGGATGCGTCCTAAGCTTAGTTTGTCCTTCTGGAGAAAAGAGGGGAAGACGACTGCCTCGAACTGCAACTGGGGCCGTATGAAACTGTCGGATATTTCTTGGAAGCATATATGATCAAACTGCCTGAAGATTTGTCGGGGAGTTGCTGTCGTCAAGTTGCCGCGAAACGCGCTTCTGCCACAATCGGCATGGGATTTTAATTCTTGGAGGACTAGAACGCCAGAATCCTTCCCTGTCAGCGGCGTCTTAAGCCCCATACCGTTGGGGTTATATAGATAAGATGTGCGTCGCATTTTACGTGTACCACCTTGCATTTCTCAGATTTAAATGTGAGCCCATACTGACTGCTCAGTTTTGAAGTTGTGTTAAATCGTCCTGCAGAGAAACAGTCTTCACCACTTTTAATTCTTCTCCACAGTTTCACGTCGTCGACAAAAAGAAGGATTTCAGAAAGATTTGTTGACACAAGTCATTTATGTACATTGGAAAACGAAGGGGTCGTGGTGCCAAACCTTAAGGACTATCACTAAGATATTATACTTCTTCAGACAGAGAAACCCACTGGAACTTCAAGTGAACGACCTCGTAGATATGAAGTCAATCAATCGATGGGCGGCGATCCTATCCTGATTAATTTTAATTTATCAGTAAGACAGTCATGATCAACCCGGTCAGACGGCTTGGTGAATTCTAGGTAGAATACATCAATTCGACCCCAACAGTTCGTGTTGTTGAAGCGCAAGGAAGTTGATCATTGTACGGTGACACCTTAGCTCATAATAGATTGACGATTCCATTGCCCTGGAAGGTACGCACAAAAGCGCCACTTGTCTGTGGTGATTCGGGTTGCTTCGTTGACCTCTACGATGGTTGACATTATGTCCTCCAACTTCCAAGAACCAGGTACTTCCCTTGACTTCGAGAATTCCCAAATAACTTGTCTAAACGTTCAGACAAAACTGATGTTCCTTCGCAGGGAACCTCCTCATGGAGAGGTGTCTTTTGTGAAACAGCTTGTGCTGTAGTGCCTCGACGCTTAGGTTGACAACCAAGAGTCTTATTTCGTTAGTGGGACATTCATAAACTCCTTGGTAGGTGGTCAATGACAAGAGGATTTCCAAATACCAGTCAGCCAGTAGCTCAGCCGCTTCAGTCTGCCACTGGTGAGTCCATCGGCCCGTAGTGGTTGAAAGACTCCCACTGTGGCCTGTCGGAACGAAACAGCGTAGATGAACAGACTTCTCGAGCTAGAAACAAACATGTTTGTAAGCCTCACTTTATGCCGCTGCCAGTCGACTCTCAATGACTTCATGCACGTGTTCTTGTCTGTTTGAACTGCCTGTAGGCGCATTCAGTGCCAATCCTTTTGTGTTCAGGCCAGTGGTGCCTCTTCAACCCAAGTTTGCGAGTGCAGTTCCTGATCACCTTAACCAACTTGAAGCACCTCGGTCCTGAAAGAGGAACAGACTGGCCGATTACATGCATGATCCCGTTAAGTATGGATCTCCAATGTGTGTTCACATCCTGCGGTGCATAGTTAACTTTCGAATCTGTCTGTTCCACTGCCATTCGAAGAGCCGGAGTGTTAAGCTGCCCGAAGTTCCAACGACGCTCATTGAAGGGTCTGGTTGGACTGATCCTGCAGGTATACCGGAAGCCAACGGAAACGTAGTCAATCCCGCGCAAGGAAGGAGGGATCGCTATGTTGTCGACCAAGAATTCTTCATTTGTGGGGATGCAAACTAAGCGAGATGGGGTTTGAGTTTCCCTCTATCGCGTTACCATATCCGCATCTTCCTTAAACCCCAGCTCCGCAATCTGATGAAAGAGTTGGGCTTCAGTGGAGTCATCACTCTTACCAAACATGTGATCTGCAAAATTAACCCTGGGTAGGCTAGGGTCGTTTGAAATTAGTATGTGTGCGCTCCAGTCTAAGAGGGTAAATGACTGCCCCTAGCATCTGGTTATCATACTGTGCGTTAGCAGATGACTTCCCATAAATGACTCCCACTGAGCACTTTATGGTCCTGGGGCAGCTTTACGGTGCACCAGGTGGACCATTCGAAGCATTCCAATTCTTGAATATGGATTTGGTGGGCTTAGAAAGAAGAACTGGGGTAAAGTGCTACCCCACCTGCAACCAGCCTTCTCATCATTGAGAAACGGCACTGTGTGAACGATTGCCGGCTCCTGATTTGACATGTCAGGAGAAACCCACATCTCAGTAACATCTAAAAGATGAGCGTAAGTGTCTTAACTTGATTCCCGCAGTTCGTCTAGTTTGTTCGGTGAACTTCGTGCATTTGTATAAATGAAATTTACACTATCTACTTGTAATGCACTTCCTGAACATTCTTTATTGTCCAGTTAGCCGGTTGAATCCTCAGGTGAGGGAGTTGGGATGTGCCTACTTGCTGCCTACCAGCAAAACGTTCTACGTCCTCCCTCGTTTTTTTGCAACAAAGCAGTCTTCGAGAGGTACAGCTAGCTCCAATTTTTTTCTGATTTCATCGCGGCCTCTCGTTCTGCGACCCATCAAGCTGCATGCGGACTCCGGGTGTCAGGTGATTTTTGCTCCCCCGGAATGCCTGCAATGTGTATTCTGCCGGAAAGACCTCTTTGGTTAGCCTTAGTCTGGGGTCATTGTCATTTTTGAGCAGCCGTGAAGCGCTTTGAGTTATTGCTTCCTTGAGATTCATGGTATTCCTAAAGAACTTCCACTCTCAAGAGTCATGATGAAAATCCTCGGCGTCCGGGTTTTCAGGTGTGTCTTGTATCAATAGGTTCCTTCATCTAGAGTAAGCGTCGCAACCATCGTCCAGGAGTTTGTTTACAAGCATTCCCTCAAAGTGCTGGATATCTGGTAGTTTAGGAACTGTTCTGTTGCGAACTTGAAAGACGCGGAGGCTAATCACTGAGTATTCGAACTTGCTATACACCCGCGAATACGAGACCAAAAAAGAACATAATGGCTTAGTCGTATGGAACAGTATATTTGCGAGGTCGGGCCAAGATACCGATGCTTTCCAACTAACTGGCTGGAGGGTCGACCATGAGCAGTGCAACGTAACATAACGGCGTGCCAAATGGCGGGGATGCTTGATCTGGTGCCTTCGGCCCAAGGAGTCCGGTAAAACCATCAAGGTCAGCGACAATGTTCAATCTCATCGAACCCTAGGTTATTGAGGACCTTGTGAAGCCGCAATAGTCTCCCTACTTTCCCCTCAACGCTTAGCACACGAGGTGCTAACAGCACACCCTCGGCATTATCTGAGCGATAAAACGTGAACTTTGAAGGTCGGGGCTTACCCCCAGTTGTTCGATTGGGGCCACATGAGAGCCTGGTTGCAGATGCTAGCTCAGTATGACGTGGCTTGAGGTTTCTGCATGTTTTCCCACAGGGCCCCATCACTCCTATCTTGAGGGCCACATGGGAGACCAGGGCCATCTACTGGGTTCATGATGATCAAAGAATTATTCCCGATGGTGATTTTTTTGTCGGCCGTTGATGCTTGTGCACCTTTTGCTGAACTTTCGTTTTTCTCTCACTTCGCCCCGTTCCTGGGTAACACTTGTTTGTTCGGCAATCTTGTGAGCTACATGTATAGTCTGCTATGCCTCAGACTCCCTCGTAGACTCAAGTTTGGCCTTTCTTGTTTCCAGATTACCCTGTTACGGCTTGTTCACCGTGCCTCCCACCTTCTCAGACCCAATGGAATCGACTGGAGTCGAAATACGACCGTTCCTATTTCGCACAATCGATGTCCGTTCCCCATCTTTAGCATGTTTGCTCGGTGTGACTGCCTCGTCTTCTGCCTCATCTGTTTGCGACAAAATTCTAGTAAAGGATAGTAGGACAGTCGATGTTATTGCACTGCTGAGGTGCATCATGTATTTCGTCAAATCAATTCCTTGCTCCAATC